GGGGGGTACGCCCCCTTGTGCAAAGCAGGACTGAATGTAGAAAACAAATTACCACCCGGCGCCAGGAACTCCATGTTCGGGGCGTCAGGAGACTTCAAACCTGTGCCGCCCCTCTGCTCCCTGCCGCCCCGGGGGCCTCGGTGGCCTTGTCGGGAATCTGGCCCTGGTTGTCACCCCTGTATATGGAACGCCTCCATTGTTCGAGGTTTGAGGGCAATGGACGCCATTCGCATCCGGTGAATAACCTGAAATGGTAGGAAAGCTGTAACCGGCCTGCGGTGGAAGTAGAGAGGTTCAGGTGACACATATTGTCCGTGTCGGAGTCCTTCTCAGGGGAGATGTGACGAGGTGACAACTCTGCTTTATTATTATCATCAGAGTACACCAAGACATTACACTGCGCCGGAAACACTGAGGGGGGTTCTAAAACCTTTCACCGGTGTTCTGTCAAGAATGCTGACCCAGTCGAATTTGCCGACCTGACCATCTGCGCTTGCGCACACACCGGGATGAATGAGAAAACAGCCATTTATTTACAAAGTATTTCTTTCTAATTGTGACCGTTCATAATATGGCGTCCATGGCTGTACATGATGGGTGGCAATGTAATAATACTGTCATTGCTTACGATGTTAATCGTGAATGTGCATAAAATGCCACCCATCATGTACGGCCATGGACGGCATATCATGAATGGTCACAATGAACAATTAGAAACAAAAACTTTGTAAATAAATGGTTGCTTTCTCGTTCATCCAGGTGTGTGCGCAAGCGCAGATAGTCAGGTCGGCAAATTCGACTGGGTCGGCATTCTCAACAGAACACCAATAGTGTATTTATATGCGGGGACTACTGTGTATAGGGGCGGGGTCAGCCATATATAGCAGTGTATGTAGCCGGGGGGCGGTCGCAAACTATATGAAGGCGTGGCCACAAGGCTGCAATATGTCATGTGACCGCGCTGACAGGCAGCGTGCGAGCTGGAATTGTTCCGGGCGCGTACGTAAGGTAGACGACGCTACGTGGTAAAGGAGACCCACAAAGTAGGCCCCTCCCACTACAAGTACCGCCTCTTCACTACATCTCCCAACAGGCCGCGCGGCGGTCACGTGATGGGAGAGGACGGTCACGTGCCGGGAGAGGAGCAGCTGGGCAGGTAAGTAGAGCTGAATGAACCCCGAACAATAACACGACCCCGAATTATGACCCACTATCATACCCCTCCCCCGTCTATAATACCCCTCCTCTACCTACAATACCCCACATCCTTCTATTATTTCCAATTCTACAATACCCCTCCTCTGCTCATAGTACCCCTCCTCAATTCATAATACTCCTTCCCCATTCATTGTAACCCTTCCC